TAGGGTTTAGGGTTTGGGGTTGGATGTTGTGCTATATTTACAGGTGGAGCCACATCAGACCCTTCTAGCACCCTAAACTTCCAAAACCATCTATAGCCCTAAACTCTAAACACGCGAAGCCCTAGACAGACCTTTCTGGAAGCACCCAGCATCTCCCCTCAGTTGGCCCGCAGGACGACGACGAACTGCAAGCCGGCCCTCGAACAGGCGTCGTCTGTTTGAGTTCTCCCATCAAATTTACTACAAGGGTCAGTTTTAGGGTTTAGGGGTTGCTACTTTGTATAAGGTTTGCTAGGTTTCCAGAGGGTCCGATTTACTAGGGTCCTCCTTTAGGGTTTAGGGTTTAGGATCCCTTAGGATTTAGGGTTAAGGGTGACATTAACACTCACGTCCACCGTGCCCAGTTCTTGAGGAGGAGGAGTCCTACAAGGTGTTTGAGGGCTCAGGGTGCGCACGGCCCGAAGCGGATTTGCATTGTGGTCTCCCGCATCTTTCTGGTGTGTCTAGATGCAGCCAAGAGTTGTCCATGCATCACTTGTTGAAAGGGGTGCGAATGAACATAATGTTCCAGTTTGAGTATCCGGTGGTTCTTGTTGTGATTTGCTCTGAGCTCTGTGTTTAACGAAGACAATATCCACGCTACTGATTGCTAGCAAGTTGCATTATTTAGATTTACTGAGGTACTTTGGCAAACCTGAAAATACTGTGTGTTCCGGTGCGGGCTTCCTTGTATCGGGTGTGAGTTTGGGGGGTGGAGAATTAGAGAAAGGTTTCTCTAATTGAAAAGGGTTCTTTCAGAAGGGTTTCTACAAGGTGTACTGGTAGGGTTCATACACGGGTTCGAATAATTCGAAGCAGAATTCCCTGGATGGTCCCGATATTGCATCTTCAGTTGCATACCCCGCAACAACCTCTTCGAATTATCAAGGCCCCTGCACCCGGGGTTTTCGGGTTTAACCACACAGATTTATTGTCCTACGTGTTAAGTCCCATGGCCCTTCGAGTAGACCCCCCCTAAACCCTAAACC